GGCGGAGCACAGGCTCCGGACGCACAGGCCCAGTGGGATGGCTCACGGGCCCAGCGGCTCCGCAGCATGTGGGATCCTCCGGGACCGGGGCATGAACCCGCGTCTCCTGCATCGGCAGGCAGACTCTCAACCACTGCGCCACCAGGGAAGCCCAAGCCTACCTGACTTTTGATTGAAGCAAATACTTTAACAAGATCCAGTCCCCATAATTCGCAGCCCCCAAAGTTATAAACAACTTAAACTAGAAGGAGCTGGGGATTCAATGATGGGGATGTTGATAAATGAGTTCTGAAGTAGAGGGTTGGAAATAGACAATTAGAGAAAATCCATTAATATTCTTCTTTTGTTTATAATATTGGAATTCATACTGAATGGTGACCACTTGATATGACTAATTCAGGGAATATATATTTTTCTATGAAAGCTATGAATGTGACTATCACAACTCTTTCTCATTTTTACTTTCATGTAGCAGCATTTGCAGAGATGGCCAAAATGTGCCTCACTATGAGGCAGATCTTAGTTTTAATGACAGAAAATAAAAAGTATAAAGATCAAAACAGTCATATTTTTAGATGATACAGTCACATCCTCTTATGTTTCTCTATAGCACCTTAAAAGAAATTTATGAACTTATTACAAATTTATTACAGTCTCATCACAATGGCAGCATGTCTGGGCTATTTCAGTCCTTCACTAGGATTGGAAAATCTGGTCTTGATACTAAAGAACTTATTTGCAATGAGGTTTAATTTGTTAATAGTTGAAATTAAAATCACCAGATTAAATGAACGCACTGTCAAATCTTTTTAACATGGTAACATGCTATTGGAAAACTGAATTGTTAGAAGCAAGCTGTTTTCCCATTTAAAAATATCTGTGAATATTAATATAAGATTTGCATGTGTAAATCTGAGAAAGTAAAATATAGAAACTTAAGGGTTTCTATTTTCATTAGACTAATGTAGTGCATATTTTTTGGTTATACAGATCAACTGCGTGTCTTGATTACTTGAGAAATTTGTGGTTGCATGTCTGCTTAAAAAAAGGCTTTTTGTTGTCATTTTCTTTTTCTTAGCATAAGCCAGAGTATTTCTAACCTACGGAGTCTGTGTTCTTTGCTCTGTTTATAGTATATTTTCATCTGAAATACTGATACCAGTAACTTGTTACTAGTACAGGTGAGAAAGGGAAGAATTCCTAATAAACTGCTAGTATTTTTAGGTGCATGAGGTTTGATTTTTGATCTTTAATGCAATGTTTAAACCCATTTTCAGTCCCATATTTACACTTAATTTCATAGAAACTTCTTATTGGGTATGCTATGTCCTCAACAAATGCCATAAAATGAAAATGTTAAAATCTCAGTTTAAGACTATTTTATGCAAAGTTTTTTGACAGTTTCAGTGTCATGAAAATTTCATTTTGAAATTATAACTTACTGTGGTGGGGTTAATTTCTGTCAGTACTTGAGATTGTATCATCAGCCTTCTTTCATAGTGGAATCCATTTTCTAGTTGAGTATTTAATTTGAACATATACGTGCCTTTTTTAGTGTTTGGCCTAAATTTATTGTAATTGCATGAAGTAAGCATTTGTTTAAAATTTAACATTCTTGTAAAACTCTCTCTCTGAAATGTATGCAGAATTTTAATCATGGCTAAATGTACTATCATTACCCTATTTATAATTTTAATCAGTTTTCCACAAGTGATTTTTTCATAATGTAATTGAAATCAAATTTAGGATCTTACTGGTAAAAATGAAGCTATTTTATTGAACAAAAGGACTAAGTGATGCCCAAACTTTTATTCTGCAATTCAGTCATTCTGTAAAACCAAGTAACCCAGGAGTGTTAATGCAGTTTTAAAATATTACACTGGTAATCTTGTATATTCTAGCTTGCTAGCTATACCCAAAGTTTCCTAAGCTCTAACTAGATAGCAATTTGGTCTTATTGTTTATACTTTAATGTTCAAATTTCTTCAAAACTCAATATATTATTTTGCAGTAATGTGTAAAATTGCTAAATACTGATTTTACAGAAAGGCTTGTTCCACTTCTTTAAACAAGATGTTTCTAGCAACAGATTTCTGAGATTTTTTTTTTAAATCTCAAGAGGCTCCCCCGACCCCAAATTAGCACTTAACTTTGTTACTATTTATTGATAGGGTTCCAGAATGTAAGCAATGCCCTCTAGTTTCAGCACAACTAAATCTAGGTGAATGGACTTTTTTTTTTTCCGTTGCAATACTGGGTATTTTCATTTAAACTATGGTATAGTGTCCCTTTTCTCTCCTGCTTGGATTAGTGCTCCGTTAACTTTGTCTCGATTAAATTTGAAAGAAGAGAACCAATTCAAAAATTACATACTTTGCTTATTAATGAAAGGCTATTTAAAACGAAAACAAACTTTGTATTAGAAATGGCCAAGTCTTAAAAAAGAAGCGACTATTTTTGCATTCTCATTAAGTCTTTTAGATCAGCTTGACAAGCATCAGCTTTTGAAATGTGACTTCCTATCGCCAGAGTAAAGGCTCATTTTTACAACACCGCGAAGCACTGTATTTCTTCCTGCCCTCCTCTGTCCACCGTCCCTAGGACGCGCCGGGCTGGCACCTACCTGGGGCGGTCGCGGTTTGAAGCCGGGTGCTTAATAAACCAAAGCTCACCCAGTCACTCCTAACGGAGAAGAAAACGGAAACGGATTTAACGAATGAAAGGTAACCTGGCTGCCCTCTTCCCGGAACGCTACATACTGGGGCTGGAGCGGCCGAGCCCCTCCTCTGCCCGTTACCTGCCGGACGGGAGGCCCCGCCCCCTGGCTCGCCTCTCGTTTCTCGCCTCTCTAGCCCGCAGTCATCCGATCTCTCGGTGGCCCCGCCGAGCTCAGGCGGCTGAAGAAAAAACGCTCCGGGCTTGCGCCGCCGCAAGGACCGGGGCGCATGCGCAGGGGTGGTGCCCCAGGGGTGGGGGGGCGGTGTGTGGCGGTGCTCAGGGGCGCTTGCGCGGGGCGCATGCGTCGTGCTGTGGAGCCGCAGTTCGGCTGGGAGGGTGTGACGGTGGTTATGGCGGCCACGTTCTTCGGGGAGGTGGTGAGGGCGCCGTGCCGAGCCGGGACGGAGGACGAGGAGGAGGAGGAAGAGGAGGGGAGGAGGGAGACGCCCGAAGACGGGGAGGTCCGGCAGCAACTAGCGCGGAAGAGGTGAGGTCTTGGGCGCGCCGTCGCAGACCCGGCCCGGCGGGCGCAGGAGCAGACGCGCAGGCCCAGGGGTGGCGGCTGCTCCGCGCTCGGCACCGGTCCTCGGGGGGCACAGGGGGTCCAGACAGCTCCGGGGGTGCCGGGTGGAGGCGGCTGGCGGGGCTTGCTGCAGGCTCCGTGGAGCCGTCGGATCCTCGCGTCTTTAAAGGCATCCTTTAGCTTTGATGCAGGTGGTTTCCTGCGGGCTTGTTAGGTTTTCTAGCGCAGCAGGGCTGTCTTCCCGCCCCAGGTTTGTCGTGTCTTTGGTTTATGGACATAAGACAGGTCTTTTCGAACTTTCTTCGCCGCCGCACACCTCAGTTAGTATTACGTGTCAGTAGCAGATGGTTATGTCTTTTTTAAAAATGGATTATTTCCAAGCACACAGACACTGGAGAAAATAGTAAAATGACACTTTTAGCCCATCCAGTCACGTAAGTTCAACAGTTAGGAAGATTTTGCCACATTTATTTTGTCTCCCTCCACCCCCTAGGTGGGTCCCAGTCACCGTGGCCTTTTACCGCTACAGTTTTCCGAATGCGTCTCAACAATATAGGCATTGTCTTACGTATGCTGTCACCCCCTTAAGAATTAATAATACTTTTTGGATACTGTTTAATAGCCAGTCCATGGTCAGATTTATGCAGTTGTCTCAGACGTGACATTTTACAGTGGGCTTCTGGAAAGCAGAATCCTGGCCAGGCTTGCATCTTACATTTAGATATTTCTTCTTTTGAGCTTCCTTTCGTTTGGAGCAGTCCCCTCCTTTTTCACCCTGGCTGAGAGACTGATTGTCCTGCCGGATGTCCCATGCTCTGGATTTGCCTGATTGCTTCGTCTTGGTGTCATTTATACAGATGTGTGTCCATCACCTGCATTTCCTGTAAAGGGAAGCTCCTTCTAAGAGGCTTGGTCAGTATTTTGCTGGCACGGACGCCTCAGAGGTGGTATTTGCAGTTTCTTACTGCACACTGTGCCCAGTTGTCCCACTTTTAGGGATTCTAAGATGGATTGATCAGTGGGTCAGCTGGACAGCTTGATCCCTCTTGTACAGTTCTCCAGGAACTTTGCAGCAAAGGGTTTTACCTGTTAGTTATCGTCGCCTGAATCCATTGTTTCCTTAGGATTATAATTATGTTCTTTATAGAATTAAAGTTTGCATTTTACTTAATACAAAATCATACTTATAAGTATAGGCTACTTATAGTAGCCTTTTTGTCATAGTATAGTACTGATTACATTTAAATTGCTTTCGTTTCGTCTTTCATTTCTTGTGTTAGGGAGGTGCGGCTCCTTCGAAGACAAACAAAAACAACTTTGGAAGTTTCTCTGCTAGAAAAATATCCTTGCTCCAAGTTTATAATTGCTATAGGAAATAATGCAGTAGGTAAGTGCAAGTGCATTAGACTACACATTTTGTTGAAAGCAAAAGCCAAAGTTACTTATTTATTTCCACCATAAAAGATTTCAGATGTCTGTTACTTTTTTAGAAAAAGTCGTAGCAGAGTAACTTTGTATCTGAGTGAATTCTATCCCTGCTCATGTGGCACTGTCTTTTTGATAAGCTTGAAAAATGAGACTTAGAGGAAATACTCTTGGCTTTGGGAACTTACGAAGTCAAGGAAACACAGTTTCTAGTATACAGGTTTTCTTAGGCTTCTGGGCCTGTCGTGGCCAGACCGGGAGGGCAGCGGTGGCACGTGCAACACGGCCCCCTTGTCACAGTGGTCCTTGCATGTTTTTGAGTTAACCAACTCCTTTAAAACCATATGGAGCGCTCTAAAAATGACAGTAATAATTGCTACATTTTTCAGTACTTGGTTTCTAAGATCTTCACATACATGAATTCATTTGATAGGTTAAAGCCAGAACGGTGCAGAGTGCAACTAGAACAACGCACACACACGCAAGTACACAAACCTGTATCGTTTTAGGGGGTTCACAGGCTTGGAGGAGAGCCTTGGAAAACCCCAGTGAAGATCCCTTGCCCTGTACGGTACCCCTAGTGCTTGTAAAGGAGTACATGGTAAATCACTGCTGACTCGTGGACGTGAAGTTCTCCGGGCCTGAAATTTTCCACGAGGGTGTTACAGTGTGACTCTGGTAAAGTCTGTCAGCAAACCTGTCTTCTCGATTCCTGGCTCCAGTACCACCTGTACTCAGGGTGTGGCCTTTAACTTCTTGAGGCCTCAGTGTGTTTTTCTGCAAGATGATGGTGTGCGTAATGTTGATGGTCTCAATGGCTCTTTCAGCTCTAAGATTCTCAAGTAACCTGAATATCGTTTTTACTGAATAGAAAATGCAACTTGCGGATCCAAACACTAACTTATGCGAATTGTTTTTCACAGCATTTTTGTCATCATTCATCATGAATTCAGGAGTCTGGGAAGAAGTTGGTTGTGCTAAACTCTGGAATGAATGGTGTAGGACAGTGGACACTACACACCTGTCCCCCACAGAGGCTTTTTGTGTGTTTTATCATCTAAAATCAAATCCCTCGGTATGTGGGGCCTGACTTGTATGTTTAAGTGGGGTTCCTTAGGCATCATTTATGTAGTGTTCCTTTGAATTTCATGTTCCTTTATGTCTCCTTTTGGGCTGAGGAATTCTGCCTGTAGGCAGTGGTAGTAACCACTTTTTTGTCTGGTTCTTGTTTTTTTATTTTTATTTTTTAAAATTAAAAACAAATTAAAAAAATTTTTTAATTAAAAAACCTTTTTTTATTGAAGCATACTGGTCAACAATGTTGTCACTTTTTTGTTTATATAAATGTTAATGTGGTGTGTTGGTAAACTTCTGAGGAAATTCTGAAATAACTTTTTTAGAAACAAACCAGAAACATTAGATATTTAAACTTTGCCCACATTCAGAGAATGATTTAAGCTGGCAAAGGTAAACATGGGAAAATGAGTACTCGCTGTGGAAGCAGGGAGTTCTGCTTTGTCGCTGTATACCCACCCGGTATTCAGCCAACGCTGAGCACAGCCTAGGGACTCAGTTAACATTGAGCAAATGGATGCTCTGTGCATTCTAAATACAATTCTGTTGACCTTAAGCTTTCATCCTCACCTCATTGATCCTGATTTTTTTTTCTTTTGGCCGCTCCCCTCGGCTTTCGAAATCTTAGTTCCCCAACCAGGGATCAAACCCGTGCACCCTGCAGTGGAAGTGCAGAGTCTTAACCACTGGACCGCCAGCGAATTCCTAATTCATCCTGATTTTTTAAGTTATGAAAGATAACTCTGTAGCTGACGCCTAGTGATTTCATTGGAACCATTTGTCCTAATCCTATCCTTGGGTTCATTGAGAGAAAGCAGTGTCCTGAGCGGTTTGGGAGACAGGTCAGGCAGGTGAGGTGGCCGGGCAGGTGATGTCTGTCTCGCCACCTGCTTGTCTGACAGAGTGCTGTTCCACAGCTGCTGAGTGCTTGAACAGAGGCCAGGGGCAGGGATTCAGACAATGCAAGAAGTCAGTAATTCCATAATACTATAATGTTAGTCTTGAAGACTATAAAATTTGATTTTGTAATACTTACAGTTTGTTTTTGTAATATGTTATCCAAAGTTATTAAAGTTTACATAAGGATTTTTGTAAACATCCAGTATTTATAGGAAATAAGTAATAAGGAAACTAAGGTTTTTTTTTTTTTAAGATTTTTTTGATGTGGACCATTTTTAAAGTCTTTGTTGAATTTGTTACAATATTGCTTCTGGTTTATGTTTCGGTTTTTTGGTCCTGAGGCATGTGGGATCTTAGCTCCCTGACCAGGGATCGAACCTGTATTCTCTGCATTGGAAGGCGAAGTCTTAACCATTGGACTGCCAGGGAAGTCCCAAAGCATGTTCTTTATCTGATCCTTAGTGGGAAGTTTTCACTCTAGAATACATCATGGAGGTCAAGCAGTAGAAATTTCTGTTACTACATTTAGTTATACCATTGATTGGTTGGGTGTCTCTTGACTATCCAGAATCTTTGTGTGTAGCTAATTACATAGCTAGTCTTTCTCTTCCCCCTATCCCTGGGCCCTCTTTTTCCCTCTTGTGCTGCTGCTTCTGGTTTTTTTTTTTTTTGGCCACACCACACTGCATGCGAGATCTTAGTTCCGCCCAACCAGGGATCGAACCTGTGCCCCCGAAGTGGAAGTGCGGAGTCTTAACCGCCGGATCACCAGGGAAGTTCTTGTGTTTCATTTTTTCCCACTTGTGTCATTAAGTGTTAGTGTTTCTGGCGATATTTCAATAGAAGACGAAGTTGACTTTTATGGCTGCTATCATTCCACAAGCATTAATAATCAGGAATGTCATCCTTTTACAGCATTGTGCATTGCATGTTTTCACTTCAAGTACATGGTCAGGACATGGTGTCTAGAATAATATTGCCTCCTAGGCATCAGCAGTGTCCTAGGGTGCCGCTGGGCTGAGATGCTGCTGGGCTGCTGTCCTGATAGCACTTAATGTTTTTGTAACGCTTTTTGAGTTTGATCTTCACAGTGTGTGGCACCACCCACCCCCGGATGGGCAGCAGGCCTGGTGTCGTCTCTGTTTTATAAAGAGGACTCCGGTAGTACTTACTGATAGTATCTTTAGAATCTCCTGTGCCAGCCCTCACAGTTGCTGTGTCAATGTGCACTTTTCTCTGATACTAATTGCCAATAGTGGCTTGATTCTTAAATTTTAAATTTTAAAGAAAAGTAAGGCAGTAGCAGATTAAGCAAAACAAGTGTTATCCAGAGGTTATGTTGGGATTCACATGTTATGTATATGATGACAGTGTGGGGTGTGTGTAACATTTATTTGACCTGACAGAAAACTCTGGATTTGATTTTCAGGTTGTGCTCTGTCAATGTAGTTGCTACGTTGCTGAAGATCAGCAGTATCAGTGGCTGGAAAAGGTAAGAGAGATTCTGGGGTTGCTACTTTATCAAGGTTCAGTTTCTTTACGCTTAAACCTATGTAGTCAGATGTTGAAGCGGGGTAAGTATTTGCTTTTTCCCTTAGAAATATAGTAGGAGTTTGTTAACAGAATATAAAGAATAAAAGAACTCATTTGGCAAATGTGATCAGCAATGTGCTAAAGATCGTTGGTCATAGAAACATAAGACATAGTTGGAACAAGTTACCCGCATGAAACAGAGCAGGGTTGCAGCCACGGGTGAAAACGGGCCATGCTGACAATGCTGCCCGGAAACGCAGGGACGGGAGGTGGGAAACTGGGTTCCTGGGGTTGCTGCTCAGCTGACACTCACACCGGGGTTTCATCCATTTTTCATAGCATTAGAATGGATCAATTGAGGCTTCATTTTGTGGGAAAATTGAGCACATGGTATGTGTCCACTAAAACAAATTTTTCAGTGAAGAACTTAGCTAGAAATTTTAGCGAATAATCATTAATTTTGGTAGTTGCAGGTTATTATTTTTTAATTATTTATTTACTTATTTTTGGCTGCGTTGGGTCTTTGTTGCTGTGCACACTTTCTCTAGTTGCGGCGAGCGGGGGCTACTCTTCGTTGCGGTGCGTGGGCTTCTCATTGCGGTGGCTCCTCCTGTTGCGGAGCATGGGCTCTAGGCGCACGGGCTTCAGTAGTTATGGCTCGTGGGCTCTAGAGCGCAGGCTCAGTAGTTGTGGCACGTGGGCTTCAGTAGTTGTGGCTCGTGGGCTCTAGAGCACAGGCTCAGTAGTTGTGGCGCACGGGCTTAGTTGCTCCATGGCAGGTGGGATCTTCCTGGACCAGGGCTCGAACCTGTGCCTCCTGCACTGGCAGGCGGATTCTTAACTACTGCGCCACCAGGGAAGTCCAGTTGGTAGTTGCAGGTTATTTTTAAGTGAAATAGCCCTTTTATATACGTCTTTTCAACATTGCAACTTAAATCTTAGGCATATTTTTATGTAGGTATTATAATTAAGTTCAATAGAAATAAAAAATTGGGTGTACACCTGCTTTAAACCAGATTGGCATACGTAGAAACATTTATTAAAAGTTATTCAATGCATTTTATTAAATGAGGAATTTTCTAATAAGATCTGTGAATCTTATGGTTGTATATGTGATTTTATACTGTGTACCTATGTGTATTTTCTAGAGAGAGGGTCCATAGCTTTCAACAGATCTCAGAAGGGTAGGAAACTGCCATATTAATTTGTATTGTTAATGTATGTAGGGCGTTTTATTATTTTTGTACTATGGAGCAGCTTTTCTCTCTCAGACTTGAAAAAATGTAGAATTATGCATTTCTAAAACAGAATTTTTTAATCAGTATTTTTTCCCCCTGGGGATACTCTTTGGGTCCCTCTGCTGTTGGGTTCACAGCAGCCGCATAATCCTGATAATCACACACAGTCCAACAGTTGTCAAGTATTGTGGCTTCAGATGATGAGTATTTTAGGGAGGATGATAAATCAGGCCTTGTGAGTAATGTTATAGCCCTTAAATGGGACGTATCTGCTGACAGATGTATGTGGTGTTAAGTTTTGTATTTGTTTATAAAGCTACACTATAATTAAAGTAGCCTTATAAATCACTTATGGCACATAATATAAAATCTTCACTTCCCTTGCTATTTGAAATAGCCATTTTGTTCTCTTCATAAAATATTTTCAAACAAGGTGCAATGACCTAAAATCTACTCTTTTTTTCCTTAAAAGATAGCTGCTTTTTTTTTTTCTTACATCACCAAAGATTTCCAAAGTCCCTGGAAATCCATGAACTACCAGCTTAGGTGGACATGGAGGTCTTGAGTGATTGAAACTTAGTCTACAATTGAAATAGATTTAAAAGCGGATTTAAGAATCATTTGCACTGATAAAACACTTATGAGTGCAACTTGCAAGTGATGTTCTTAGAAACATCCTTAATACAGTGTTCTTGAACCTATTATATTAGTGAAAGGATCACTTCCTGTTGCTGATACAACACTAGTCTAAGTGGAGTGTTCTTAGAGATACCTGTGTTAGAAGAGATCTTGATCACGTCACTTCATCCAGTAAAGAATGGGTGTCACTCCCATTCACTTCTATTCAGTGTAACACTGTTCTCAACACTGATTGCAAGTAGTGATCTTAGAAACAGAACAAACTGGAACAAACCAAAAAGAATAATTTGCAGGCATCTGTGGCGGGCGGGAGAGGGCGTAAACGAACAGGTGCTCATAGTTGAGTGACTGCCTTACCTGCCATGGCATCCCTGGCTGTTAGCTGCTCTGCCTCCTTTGTTCCTGACTTCATTTAATCCAGATCACACCTCCCTCAGGTAAGTAGGCCTTAGTTCACAGGTGAGGAAGGTAACTTGGAGAAGGTTACCCAACTAGAAAGTGACAGAATTAAGATCAGACCCAGGTGAGGGCACAGCAAAGCATGGGTTTTGTTTTTCCATGGACAGTTCCACCCCTGCAAGGTGTGTGTGTGTGTATGTGTGTATATATATATGAATGGTGTAGATAAACAACTAGAGGGATGTTTCTATTCTGTCACAAAATTATATATATATATATATATTTTTTTTAATTTGAAATCAATTTTGTGCTAGGTTTTTGGCTCTTGTCCAAGGAAGAATATGCAAGTAACTATTCTTACATGTCGACATGTTACTGACTATAAAACTTCAGAATCTACCAGCAGTCTTCATACTCCTTTCCTGAAAGCCCTAAAAACACAGAATTTCAGAGAGCCTCCTTGCTGTTCACTGCTAGAACAACCAAATATCGTGCATGACCTTCCTGCAGCAGGTGGTATTACAGTGCATAACATTCACATTTTATCTTGTTATTACTTTATTCATAGTTATTAGTTGGACTAGTAGGGATCTTTTTGAGGCAGTTTGTTAGTGATGATTGATACCATTGTATTGCTGTTTGTCCTCACTAATTGCTCTAGTTGCTGGTATATTCTGTTTGGTGTGTGTCTTGAAACTTTCCAGACACACAGTTGTATGAGAGCAGCTCAGAGTTCTTAACTGTTAGCTTCAGAGTTGCCGTTTCTTTTTGGTCTTTGATAACTCATCATGCAAGCCAGTGTTAGATGTAAGTTGTTGGTGTATGAGAAGTTGGTAAAGTATGTTTTAATTGTCAGAATAGAAGCTTCAGATATTGAATTTTGGTAGTTGCTTCAATAGTTTATTTTTTATTCCTGTTAACCAATTATACCCTAACATCATATCAAATTATGATTGTCACTTTTTAGTGGCTAATATGTTAAAATAGATAATTCAGTGTTATATTTTAATAAATAAAAGGTTTTTAACTTTAAATGGTAAGTTTACTAGAATAAATGGCTTAATATTTTACATTATGCATTGTATAGTTATTATTTACATTTAATTTACTTTAGTGTAGTCAGCAAAATTTTAATCTTGTGTCTTAGCTAACCCAGATGTGTCTCAGTAGTATGTTCAGAAAATGCAAAATAAACATATTTGTCAAAGCAAGAGATAACTTAGGAAAATAAATAGGCTTTGAAAGAAAATGTGCATTATAATTGGTTCAAAATGTCAGTAAATGCTTTGATTAAAAGAGGCAACAGAGATGACTATTTTTAAAAGCAGCCTTTATGAGTTAGAGGTATTTAATTTCAAAATCATGTAACAGAAAACTTAAGTGATTTTTTTTCTTGTATATTCATAGTTCTGAGTTATTGTCAAGTATGGAAAATCTCTGCAATTCTGTACTTATGTTATACTGATGTGATGAAATTAGACCTAATCACAGTTGAAGCTTTTAAGCCTGTACTTTCTTCCAGAAGCTTGAAAAGTTTGGTTAAGGTAAGGTTTTATCTCATTGACTTAATAGCTGAGTTATTATAATGAACTTAGTAAGAAACATAAATGTACGGTATCAGCGTGAAACCTAAGCAGCACGTAGAGATCCTTTTTTCTCCACATAAAGAGAAAACTGCTGGTCTGGCAGTTTGAATTTGATTGTCACATATTCTTCTAGATATGCTTCTGTAACTTGGAGAATATTTTGTTCATGTTTTGTCAGGATAGATCAGTGCTTTAAATCCCAGATGTTTGTATGGAAAGATGTTTTCACTGTTCAAGAAGTTTCTGTAACTAATTAATTTGGAAGGTGTAATTTTTGAGAAGGCATTTTTGAGCACAGTATGGATCAAATTATCGTCATGTTTATTCACTTAATTTTGCATGGGACTAGATGAGACAAATCTGTTGCCTGTTCTCAGTCTGGATATATCTGTGGGCTCCTTTCCTAGAAAAAATACATATGGGAACATGTATAGAAAAGTTTTGCCAGTAATTTCAGGTAGTTTAGGAGCTCCAATCCTCTCCCTAAGAGATTAACTGAAAGTCTGTGGACTCCTGGTTTAAGAACGTCTTCCTTAAGGGGAAGAGATTATAACAACATTGTTCCAAGTTGGAAGCCTTGTTTTATTCTAGAATGGCCATTAGTATTAGGGCAGCTTTTCTTGTAAGTTCTGTTGGCGTCATCTCATTTCATAGCTCTCATAAATTAGTTAGATTGTCAACTCCGTGGGAACGTTTTCCCTTTTGGTGTCCCCAGATCATCCTGAATATGATGTGTAGAAGGCCTTCAGCCATTTGTTGAATTATTAAGAGTGAAACTGTAGCTTAGTGTAATTCAAGTATATCTTTCAGGTGAGCTAGAGTCATGGATAATCTTTCAGACAAATTGAGTTATTTTGTATTTAGCATCTCCTGCCGAGGATATAGTAACTAATAGTGCTGCTTGCATCTGTAGTTAACCGATTGACTCTTCCCACTTTGTTGAGAGCAGGGGCCGTGGCCATTGTGTCTCTTCTGGGCACTTTCACTGGAGCATCTTTGCCACAGACATCGTGGCTGCCAGTCTGCACTCATTCTCAGACTTGCAAATCATCTGCCATGTGGGGTTTAATTCAACTTCCAGTGTCTAAAAATATTCTTTGGAGAGGAAATTTAATTAACTTTTTTGAAGTGGCTCTTTGAAGGGTGCTGTTTTCTTAATGACCAGATAGTCATCCTGGCTTAGGTCATCTCTTCTGTCCTTCTCAAAGTGGTATTTGGTCAACAAGATGGAATTCTCTTGCACACCTGCTGCGTGTACCCCACGGTGCTGGGTGGCCCACAGCCTGGAGGTGGCGCAGGCGGCCGCTGTGCCAGGTGCCAGCCAGGGCGGGGGGATGGGGGCGAGGCTGACCCGAGGAGAGGCCCCACTGGGAGGGTGGCCCTCCAGCTGGACTGGAAGGGTGGGTGAGTCCTAGGGGGAGGAACTTGCAGAGGGAGGCGGCATGAGCACGAAGTTGGCAAGTTCAGGGTGCGTTTGAGGAGAGCGGTGGGGAGCGTGGTATTGGGGTGCAGACGGGCATGAGCTCAGGTGGGCCAAGCAGAGTGTCGTGTCCATCTGAGGGCTTTAGGCTCCCGGGAGGCCTGAGGTCCCGGTAGAGCTTCGGGCGGGGGGGCGGGGAGTGGACACGCTCAATGTTGTGTCTGCCGAGCGAGGAGGTGAGGGGCAGGGCCTGTCACGTTTGGTGCCCTTCTCTGCTTCTGCCTCGAGAGTGTGCCTTGCTCCTGACTGAATGCTCAACCGCACTATATGAATGCCTTTTTCCTCTCCTTCCAGAATATTCCCCAGAGCACAGAGATACTGAAGAAATTGATGACAACAAATGAGATTCAGAGTAACATTTACACATGATTCCAAAGATTGTTTTGTAGAGTATATTACCCATCCATTCCTAGAAGGGGAGCGGCATGCACTGTTTTGTAGGTTACTTTTTCTTCAGGGAAGTATTTTGAGGATGTTAACAGAATAAACTTATTTTAAATTCAATGTAATTTTTGTTCCTTTTTTATGGTGGTACTGTTCACACCTGAAATAAGACAGACGTTTTTCTTTATCCACTAGGTGGGAGTATTGTTTTATTTGAATATTTTAAGGTAATAGAGTTAAATTGTTCAAAAGCTACAGATAACGACGGGTTTCATAATATGGAAAAATATATACTTTGGTGCAAAAATTCTGTATGAAAGCTGAAAGCTGATGATCTATTGGTGATTCTTATTATTTGGAAAGGTTCTATTTTATGAGTTCTTCAGTTGTTTTTTCTGTTTTGTTTTGTGAATAAAAATCAATTTACTCAAAGTGAAACCAAAAAATTTGTTTCCTCATTTTCAGTAATATCTCACAGTTGCCTCTTTACGCAGACTCTCTGGGCTCTTTTGCAAGGTTAATGTGTCGATGTCCACAGCTCCGCTGCGGTAGAGTGTCACACTAGGATGTGACTGGATCGTGAGCTCCAGGGAGACGCACTGCTTCCCAGACCCGCAAGCTGAGCTGTAACCTGCATCAGTGAAGATCAATTTGAAGACAGTGGAGCGGAGAAGTGCTTCTTATGTCTTCTTCCTTTCCTCCTATTTCGTTATTGAGTCATTGATACGTTATAGATTTAGACAGCTTACCCATTTCTGTCTTCTAGATTCAGTGTATTTGTTGCTACTGGTTGGAGGTGGGCAGGGGAGGCTGTAGGCTCCCCAAGTAAGCTCGGTTTCTCTCGTAGTCAAGTGCTGTGAGCCTTATGCACAGCACACGTGAACGTGCCCGGGTGATAGAAACTGAAATATTTTACTTCTTGCGAGAATGTATGTATCCATCCAGCACTGTGTTTGTAGAGCCCTGAGGTAACACTGGGTTCTGGCCCCAGCTGGACCTGGAGTCTTTTCCTGCCCTGAGGGTTAGTGTGGAAAGTAAGGAAGATCCATCCTGGAATGAACCTACGTTCAGATCTCAGGGCAACCCTTACAGGCTGGTGACCTCAGGCAGATCCCTTCAAGCAGGGCAGATGCTCAATTTCCTCATCTGTAAACTGCAGGTAAAACTCGAAATCAGGGACTTCCCTGGTTGCGCAGTGGTTAGGACTCCGTGCTCCCAATGCAGGGAGCCTGGGTTCAATCCCTGGTCAGGCAACTAGATCCCACACGCATGCCACAACTAATAACTGGCACAACCAAATTAAGAAAAACAAACAAACAAACTAGAAATCAAAGTTTAATGAATTAATGTAAATGTGCAGTCATTGTTACTTCCCTCGAGTCTCAGGTTTTCACCTGCCTGATGAGGATTCTCTCTGCTTACATTGTTGGGTGGTTGTAAGAATAAAAATATAAAAATGCTTTTGGTGAACAGTAGAGTGGTATTTACACACACACACACACACACACACACACACACACACACACACGTATACACACATCCCGAAGATGCTGACCTCGTGGTGCAGCCAGGAGGAGGCCATTTCCTTCTCAGCACTCCTCCCACCAATCTGAGAACCACAATTCTTGGCAATGTACAGCGGCCAGGAGTGGAGTAGTTGGAAAAGTTTCACCAGGCATGATCCTGGGAAAACCATAAAAACAGATACCCCGGGATGGTGGTTTCTCATTAATTTTGGTAAAGAAAGAATCACAGGCGGCCTCAGCTATCTGAGGAATAAGCCTCTGCAAGAAGCAGCAGGTGGCACCTGCGGGAGATGGGTCATCAGTGCAGCAGAGGGGTCTGTAGTGAAAAGCGGGATACCAGAGACTTGGTGTAGGGTATGCGGGTCCACAGCCCTGCGTGGGTGGTGTCGGGGGAGACTCAGAGCTCGCGGACTTGGGAGGTCGCCTTTTCCGGGCAAACGTCGGGCTTGGGTAGGGTTCCCATTCAAAGGGGAGTAGCCGAAACAACACGTGGGCCCCACGAAGAGAACTGGTGATGTAAAGGATAGGAAACTGCCTTAAAAATACAGAAGAGCATTCTATTGAAAACTATAGAAAACGGCCATTTTTTAAAATTCAGGGACTTTGGATTTTTCTGAAAGAATAGAATGTGAGATGAAGCTAGCTGAGAGGCAAATTTGAGAACTGCATAGAAGATTGTGAAAGAGACAAAATTTTAACTTCAGAACTAAAATCGGTATCGTATAGAAGTAAAGGGCAGAAGGAGTGCAGTATGTAATCTAAAGTGCATATACTATCACAGTATGGGGGAGGGAGGCACCACCAAAAGGTGTGGATGGGGTGGGGGACGAGGGGGCGTGAGAAGTTGGGGCCGTTAATTTTGCCTGGTCTGCCCTCTGACCACAGTTACTCATGCCCCTTGCACGTGCAAAATATGTGCGTCCCAGTCCTAGGACACCCAGCGTCTTGTCCAGTATCCGGCTTGGAGTCTAGAATCTTGGAACCTAGATCAGGTCTAGATGCATCTTCTACAGAAAGCAACAAACTAAGAAGACAAGGTGTCTGTTCTCTACACACCCAGTGCACAGCGGTGAGACAGGGACAGGCCATCTGCAGGAAGTGCTTTCATTTGAAACGGCAAAAACTAGGACATAGACCATAGGCGTTGGTCTGTACCAACTCGGAAATTCCGCTGGGCAAATAGTGCCCAGCTCCCCTCCCCCGGGAGTGAGAAGTGTTCCTTGACAAGGGCCCAGTTTCTGTCCTCTGGCAGACCCTCTTCAGTCTCATTCTCAGCCTTTATCTAAGGTGTCCTTTTTCATCTCATGCCTTGTCTGCTCTCAAAGAAATGACCTTTGTTAGCAGCTCTGTAGCTTTCTGATTCATAGAAAGATGAGTGCCTGAAATACAACACCCTTAAAACACTGTGGGCTTTCTATGTATCTTGTTTTTTTGGCCGCGCTGCACAGTTTGCGGGATCTTAGTTCCCTGATCAGGGATCGAACCCCTGTCCCCTGCAGTGGAAGCGTGGAGTCCTAACCACGAATTCCCTCTATGTATATAATCATAGTCCGCTCCATGCTCCAAACATCACACTGTCAACAACTGTGAAGGGTCAGGGATTTTGCTGACTTGCAAACTTACAGGTAAGCCTGCCACAATTTCCTGGATCCTGGTATAGACTTGAGACCCTGGTATAGAGACAAAGGACTGTATCACAGTGTAGCATGAAGCCTGTGCTTCTTGTTTGTATCAGTTTCACCTGCCCCCCTCAAGTCCTACAAGGATGATGCAGAACCATCCAGGTGGATACTGTGATCGCAGTGGGTCTGCATCACCACTGAGGACCCTCAGGCTTAGGGAATCCAAATCTTTTATGATGGACAGCAAGCAAACCTGGCTTTTCTCTGTAGGAAACATTATTTCACTGGACATTAAGCAGATTTGCCCTTTGCTCCAGGAGACACCACCTCTATCTTCCAAGACCATCTGCTCTACAGCCTTGAAAAGATAGCATCTCTGCTCTTAACAAGTGCAGATATGTGAGACTTCTCTCTCAATAGTGTTCATTCCTCGCATCTACACCTCCCCTCCAGCCACTGAGCAATCTGACCAATAGGATTTGCTAACAGCTTGGATGGATGGAGGAGCCAGGGTGAGCCGCAGGTCTGTGTTCTGAGCACCTAGTAGAGTGGAATTACATCAGCCGAGGCGGGGCTGCTTGCAGGTTAAGGAGAGAAGCCCAGTGTGGTTCTGGGTATAAGTCTGAGGTGTCAGCTGGGTGTTCAGGTGGAGATGTCGAGTTGGACACCGGCTGGGGTTTGGGAGACAGGTCCCGGCTGGTGGCTAAAGGTGGGAGTCATCGGCAAAGGGACCATTTAGTGCCTTGGGGCTGGGTGAGGTCACCAGGCAATGTGTACAAGGGACTGAGGTTTGAGCCCCGGGGCCCTGCGGTGTCAGTGGTCAGGGAGATCCCAGGAGACCAAGAAGGGCCTCCGGGAGAGGAGGATGGAGCTGGGAGACCGTGGTTTCCTGGAAGCCTGTGAAGAAGGTGCTTGAAGCAGGAAGGACTGTTACCTGGGCTTCCTGCTGAAGGCACATCAAGGAAAATGAGGTTGGATTTCTCAGTGTGGTGGTTGCTTGAATGAGTTACATAGTCCTTACTTTGCACAGAGATTAATAAAGGGTAACGGATCAATAACTGTTCTGAGGTTTAGGATTTGTGGATCACGAATGTGAATGGTGGTGGTTTCTGAAGAAAAGTAAACTGCAGAACGTACACAAACGATTACTTCCAATTCTGATCTCTGTCTTTTCAGTGCAATGGAGACTCATTTCTGAGTTGTAAAGTTTCGCCATCTTCATTTGGGCAGAGGACAGGGCAGAGAGAAGGGGGAAGTGTGAGAAAGATGAAAAGAGAAAGAGCGGCCTGGAATTCTGGGTTCTTAGGGAAGTGGGATGAGAGACGCAGCTTGGATTCCCCTTTGGGACTTTCCAGATAAATCAGGGTTCAAGAACAACTCAGATTCGGCTTGGTCGAGAGCCTCCAATAACAGGAGGAGCTCAGTTTGCTGCCATGCCGCCCACGTCTGTGCAGCTCCTGAGCTAATCATCCAACTTTAGAATGTCTCGGTGCTGGTAATCCAGTCTGTGGTCCACCCCCTCCCATTAAATACGGCCGCCGCAACCATTTTGCAATATGAACACTGTCCCCAGCTCCCCATCTCATGACCTGTTTAACAAAGCACTGCCTGACGCTGCTTAAATACACTCCATTACGGCCACAAATAGGAGCCCTGTCTCGGCATAATCTGCAAATTATATTTTATAATTTGTGAAACCTCACGGCAATGTCGCTCTTCATTAGTGCCTCAGAAAAGCAAAGAAGGGGAGATGAAAATCAAATCATGTTGATGACTGTTAACGTGTCTGGCAAAGGCGATCCTGAGTTCCCTGCAGATTTATCTGGGCCGTCCTGGCTTTTTCTCCAGCAGAACCGAGACGGGGTGGGAGGGGACGGTTTCCAACGAAGCCAGGTCAGTGTTGTTCCTTGTGGGAAATGATAACTTCCAGCCAGGAACATCAGACTTGCTTATTTAGAAAAACGATG